GTGGGGCAAGGAGCTCTTCCCTGCTGCAGTTAGGTGTGAATGTTTAGCTGATCACCTTCATTAGCATTTGAAGGCCTGCCTGAGCCTGGGAAAATCTGTTGCTGGGAGGTGTTAATCTGTGCCTGGTTTTTTCCTCTCTGTTGTTTAGCTGTTATAATTTTAGAGTTTTTTAATACTGGTAGCCAGATTTTGTTCATTTTCATGGTCTCTCCTTTCTGTTGAAATTGTCCACATGCTTGTGGATTTCAATGGCTTCTCTGTGTAGTCTGACATGGTGGTTGTTAGTGTGTCAGCATTTCTGTGTTCTCAAATAATATGCTGTGTCCAGGCTGGTTCATCAGGTGCTCTGCTATGGCTGATTTCTCTAGGTTGAAGTAGTCTGCAGTGCCTTTCATGTTCCTTGATGCGTGTATGGGCGCTGCGTTTGGTGGTCCCTATGTAGACTTGTCCACAGCTGCATGGTATACGGTAGACTCCTGCAGAGGTGAGAGGATCCCTCTTGTCCTTTGCTGAACGTAGCATTTGTTGGATTTTCTTGGTGGGTTTGTAGATTGTTTGTATGTTGTGTTTCCTCATCAGCTTCCCTATGCGATCAGTGGTTCCCTTGATGTATGGCAAGAACACTTTTCCTCTGGGTGGATCTTCATCTTTACTCTCGTGGCTTGTTCTTGGTCTTGCAGCTCTTCTGATGTCTGAGGTGGAGTCTCCATTGGCCTGGAGAGCCCAGTTGAGGTGGTTCAGTTCATCTTGGAGGAGGTGGGGTTCGCAGATTCTTTTTGCACGGTCTGCCAAGGCTTTAATGGTGCTTCTCTTTTGACTTGGGTGATGGTTGGAGTTTTTATTTGGTGTCTGGGAAAATAAATTTTCTGTTAGAATTGACGCTAAACCCAGAGATAATGGGACAGACCTGAAAGGTTTAGCACATTGATGTCATTATCTACATTAATCAAAGCTCAAAAAGTGTCCATGCTCTGTCCTTGCAAGCCTTAGCTCCACTACAGCTTTGAAATGGTAGAAAAACCTGTAAAATCGATGAATGTGCTGATAGGCATATGCGCTTCATGCAGGGAGCAGAGCTATTTTGGACTGCACAGGAGGCAAGCAGCGGAAAAATGGAAATAGTCAAGCAAATTTCCCTTCCAAATTATCTTAAGTTCCAGAAAAGAGCATAGCAGTTCTCGTGTTTGTGAGGTTCTTAATGCTGTCACCGAGATTAGCCCCCTTATCCTGGAAGGTTTAATCATCCTCCTAAAGACAGCTCGGAGCCCTTTGAAATATTCACTCATTAAGCCCTTTCACTTCAGCAGCAGGAGGTTTCGGCAGGCTTCTCCTGACGTTGAAATATGAATTTGAGATGAGCTGCTGTTGAGGGCAAATCACCTGTGACCTGGTCTTACATCTGTGGAATACCACAGCTTCCGAGCTCCTTTTTCTCCCCCTTCAGACAACACTCCTGTTCTAGTGGGGTGCATTGAAATATAGAACCCACTTCTCCTATGAAGAGAATGTTCTGCACAGTTCGCTGGCCAGGTTGCCTCTTGGGATTGCTGATTTTGCAATCTCAAACAGCAGTGTATAAGCCTTCTGGTTTCAGTGCCATCCAGCTTGTTTTCTAATTTGTTTTTGCCAATTTCATACACGATGATGGATTTTTGAAATGCATTTATCCTAAGATCTGTTAGCATCATAGAGTTGGAAGGGATCTTAAGGGCCATCCAATCCAACCCTTATCTATAAATAAAAATGTAAAGTTTGTTTGTGGGATTAACAGAACTC